GACATCAAACAGGAAGACTGTTATGCCATGTTTAATATAACACAAGCCTACACATCATAACTTCATGCTGTTATGCACTACGATGGTAAAAAACGACGACAGCACAGTCCATCAGTCTGTAAGCTATGGCCTGACGTCTGCGCTCGTGCGAGTTCTGGACGACCCGCATCTAGAGTCCAGAGCGCAGGACGCCGCCATGTTTCTTCATGATGTATAAAACACAAGAATGAAGTGGTTACAGCTTGAACTGACGAACAAACACTCAGAGATCTGCCTCCAGCAGCCTCAGCTCGTCCCGTAAGGCCTGGCCCCGGCTCAGTTTGTCCAGCTGCTCCCTGCTGGGGGTCTTCAGCTCTCCAGAGTCCACCTTCTGCTGGAGCTCCTCCACCTGCCGCAGCTTCTTCCGCAGGTTCTTCATCTTCTTGGCCTTCTCTGTCGAGTCGCTGGCGGTCTGCTCCTCTGCGGCGAGGCTCATGTGCTCCAGCTCCGCGCTCGGGGCCTCCTGCGGACTCTGCTGTTTGCGCTTCTCTTTGCGCTTCATGTTGCGTTTGGCGGTCTTGGAGAGTGCGGCGGCGTCGCTCTGTGTCTCGTCCTCGGGGCTCATGCCAGGCGGCAGCTCGGGTTTGCTCTTGAAGAACTTGACGTACTTGTTCTCATAGCTGCAGACAGAGAGAAGCGTGTTAGCGGAGCGCACACATGCACAGAGCGAGGGGTGGCGGCGGTGGAGCTTACACCGGGACCTCCTCCTGAGGAACGAATCCGTCCTTCACGCGCCGCGGTCTCCTCCACGAGCCGTCCGGACGCTGCGAGGCCGCGATATATTTACCTCAAACACACACACATTTACTCTTTTATTTGGATCCACCAGACAACACAGATGCAAACAGCAGAAAACTCACGCAAACTCAACATTGGCTGATTAGACGGCGATGTTTCCCTCTCTCTCTCTTCACTGTTCCTGCATCTCAGATCTCAAATACATGAAATATTACCCTCTTTAGACAAAGATTTTGAATTAAACAGTAAAGAAAATACTATACAAAACTTATAGAAACAACCGTTCTTTATTTACTCTCCTCATAAACAGCTTCTCACAGGTGATCTGTTCTGAGTTATCCAAATACAGATCAAAACAACAGCCAGTATCTGTATATGGCACAGAAACTCTAAACATCACAATTTTGAAGCTCTTTGACACTGAAAACTTTATTACTCTTTTATTTAATTAAATTGATTTATTTTTAATTAATTCAATTAATTAAAAAATAATTTATTTCCTTTAAAATAATTATAGTAACACTTTAATGTATAATGCATTATAAAAGTATTTTTACATTCACATTTAGTCATTTAGCAGATGCTTTATTCCAAAGTGACTTACAGATGAAGAAGCAATCAAAACTAACAAAACAGCAGTGATACACACGTGCTATAACAAGTCTGTTAGCTTAACACAGCACACCTAGCAAGGTTTATTTAAAATTATATAA